AGAAGGTCTAAAAGTAGGGTCAGGGAGAGGAGTGGAGGTAATAACCACAGGCGGAGGAAGAATGTTTGTTGTAGGGGGAGGACGAGGGTCTGCTGCAGGGGGAGTAGGAGGGTGTACTAGAGGGGTAGGAGGAATGTCTGGTACAACTAAAAGGGGGGTTTGCTGTATGTGATGGTCCCATAGATGATGGACTGGGGGCAACAGTGGTAGGTAGTGTAGTAGGCACCCTAAGTAGATACCGTGGTGCCTGTTGTTGCCTCTTTTTAGGCCTTGCTACCCCTTTTTCCTTTATCACGATGTTCTGAACCTTCTCCTGTCATTATTGCATTGAAATGGTTACAAATAAAGTAAAACAATAGAAAGGACTAAGGAAGGATCAATACAAATCAAAGTGAATGTAAAATAATTGCATACAACTTTTAAGATGGTATTTTGCATAACTCAATTGGAATGTTTTTGAAATGCTAGTTAAATTTGCTACAATAGATGTCCAAGATTCAATCATCATCATCATCTTCTTCTTCTTCATCATCATCATCATCTTCTTCTTCTTCTTCATCATCTTCTTCTTCTTCTTGTTCCTTTTGGTCTTCTTCTTCTTCTTGTCCTCCTTGTATTGGTGCTTGTAAGTCATCTCCTTCACCATCAGAGTCGTGCAATGCAGTTATACGTTCAACTTCAATAATTTCTTGTGCTTCTGACCATTTGGTCAAGTTTGTAGGTGACATGATCTTCAACCTCATTTGAGGTCAATGCGACCTCTAGGCTTGGTTTGTATTGCAACAGCCTAACCACGTTTGTGAATATTGCGGAATGGTGGATATGGCACATAATAAACCTATCTGACATTAGTTGGTAGAATGAAAGGATCAAACGGCCGATATCTTAATCTCATTTGTAGTTCGACAATGTTAAACCTAGGATCCACTCTAGTACCAGCTCTAGAAGGATCAAATCATTCACAATAAAAAAGTACTACTCTATTTGGAGAGGTATTGTTGTGTACTCTAGCCCATATATTTTATGAATGTTGCCGTAGAAATCATCATAAGAATCCTCTGTAAGGCCCTTGACGTACACACCACAATTTGTTGTTTTCTTTCTTTTAGATCATTTCTAAGAGCTTCTGGTAGAGCTATCTATAGACAAGGAATTGGTTATAAGGCTCAAAATAATAGGTCTAATTCAAAGAAATTTGTTGATCTTAGTAAACCTTTTACTCATGCATGCTTTTATTGTAACAATATTGGTCATAATGTTAGAAATTATTACTATAGAAAAGTTGGTGTTTCAAAAGGAAAGTACAGGTGGATCCCTAAGGAACAACTCTCTGAAACTAACAAGACAGGATCCAAATTCAAATGGGGACCAGCGTAAAAAATGTTTAATTGTTTTGCAGGGTAGTAGCTGCTGCTGAAGCAGTATTCAAGTCAAGGATGAATTACCATGATGAAATAAAAAATTCTTGAGATTCTGAAAGTGGTAACTATTGTATTTTCATGCATCATGCATAATAATGTTTGTATGATTGATTGATGAATGCATGATTTGTTGAATGATTGATTGAGTGATTGTATTCTGTAAAAAACAACTCGCTCAAGTTTTAATTGATTATATTAAGTATAAAGTCGAATATGTTTGAAGTATGTATGTCTCTGTTTCTTAATCATTATTGATACATGTAATCGACTTTGGACTTAATTAAACCGATTAAAAATCTCTGTTATGGACTTTCTGTATTTGAAAATTTAAATTAGGCCTGATTGAATCATTGTTGTTCGCGCCCTTATATAATTCGGCTTGATTGTAAGCTTGGAGGATTACATACAGACATATCAGTATGTAATTACATACGGATAATTTGTATCTAAGTTACATACAAATACTCCGTATGTAAGTTACATACAGATAATACGTATGTAAAGTTACATACGCATAATCCGTATGTAAGTTACATATGGATAATTCTATATGTAACTTACATACGGATTGTTTGTATATAACTTACATACGAACAATTTGTATCTAACTTACATATGGAATATCCGTATGTAACTTAGATATGGATTATCCATTGTAATGTTACCTACGACCACATTATATACGGATTTTTGTCCTTATATGATATGGAATAGCATGCTTAGAAAGAGATAAGCCTAAGACTAATCATGACAATTAAGCAATGAAATTAAAAAGATTAAAATGGAAGAGATAAAGGATAGGAAAACTTAGGAAATTGAAGACACGTCACTTGAAATGATCCAAGATAAGTGCCAAGGTTGGATCACCACATGCTCTCACAAGATAAGACCCAAAAGACAACTAAGATACAGAACTTTCTCTCAAAGAAGATAAGCAAATAAATGCAAATCACTCTTGTTTTATTCAATCAAGGTGTGTCAAAAGGAGACTTTTAGGTTGCTTATATAGCCCTAAGAGAGGAAGTAGGTGGAGAGAACTAAAGGATGTGGGACTTGAAATGCCTTCAAGTCGAGACAGCAACACCTAAGAGTGTTTCTAAGTCCCATATCTCCCAATTCTTCCACTTCTTAAGGGTTTATAAGCTTCCTAATTAGTCTACAAATGAAAACTACAACTATACATGAGCTAACTTGCATTACAAGCAACTAAGTGAAGAAGAGACTTATTTATTCTTCTTTCTTTTAAGTCTAAGCTATGAGAAGTCTCACATTGCTTGCACCTTAAAGAAAAGAAGAATATATAAACTTCTTTACAACCAAACAAAGAGAAAGAAACTGAAACTAGAATCGACAAAATACAAGTCTAAAAAAACCTATACTATTTCTTTTTATGTTTGTTGTTACTCTTAAAACTCTTCATGCTTGCCCCATCTATGGTCATATCAGTATATAATCCGTATGTAACACATTATATATAGATTTTTGAGATTATATACAGATTTCGATTGTATGTTAGAGCGTTTTTTTCTTGTAGTGAATGTAATCATAATCCAATTATTGGTAACCATAATTTGTTTTAAGTTAATTAATGTTAATGGTAATTTTATAATAGTAAAATCATTCAATACATCACTGATAGATGACCATGTTTCTTATGTAAATTTGGTCGTGCGGTCATATAATATACAAAAGTAACTTTTTTTTAATAATCAATTTTTTGAGAAACTAACCAAAATATTTTTATTAAGATAATTAATTATTATTTGAGCTAATAAATTAATTACGGAACACATTATCATGAGAACTACTCACTAATCAAATAAAATTCAAGTTTTTTCAATATAAACTTAGCATAATTAATATTGGTAAAAAAGATGAAAAAAAAACTTCATACAATTTTGTTAAAATATTTATTAAATATTGATCTATACTTTCCATCTAATATTCTAAAGGAAAATGATATTTGAACAACCTGTTTTGACAACATTTAGACATTGAACGCGTGTCTAAATGTTACTGGTGCACGTGGAATTTTTTTTAAAAATCAAAGAATGACGTGGCAATGGCAGAATTGGGGGCAGATTCAAATTTTTAGGGTTGTTTCGAAAATTTTAGATTCAAATGTTTTGAGAGAGAGAAAACGGAGAACATTTGATGGAGCACCTTCTCTCCTTCTTTCCTTCGAACCAGCCACCACAGCTCTCGCTGGATACCCAAGCCAGTAGACGTTATCGTCTTCGCTCCATCCAGTGCCACCGGTGTCCGTCGTCTTCCACCCAACCACGCAGTTCGGTTTGCAGGTCGCCGCATTGTCGGTTTTGGCAGACGAACCGAAGACGGCATCGTCTTCCCTCCAGCCCAGCCAACCAAGTTTGCGTTTTGAGTATCGATTCCTCCCACCCGCTTCCTTCCCTGTGCCGGACCCTTGCGGTGGTCGCCGAACTGCCCTCGGAGCGTCGCCGGAGTGTCGCAGGACCAAAAACAGTCCCACTTGGTCCCTTCCCTTCCCTTGATGATATTTTATGGACTTGCAAATCTCTTTTGCCAGTAAATCAACTTCCTTAAATTCTACTGATTCATTGGATGGTAGAAATACATAAATTTATTGCAATATATGCTGTCTTTTTGGACGAATTTCTCATAAACTATGCTTAGAATATATGTTCATTAGATTTGATAGAGTATTGAGATCAAGTTCTTTAATTGCTTGAATAGACCCAAAACTATTTTTGTCGTTCTTGGATTTATTTTGTTAATTTGAGTTGACAAATCATGATACAATGATAATTTTGTTTCGGTTCTTACATGTTTTAATCACATCTATTGGTTTGAAATTCCACAGGAGACTATTGGATGACTGTTGATAATGGAATCATTAGGTAGGCAGACATAATTGGAGGGTTGGTGGAGTGGGAAACATTAGTGGAAGTTTGTTAAGTGGGAATCATTAGTGAAGATCGTGGGAATCATTAGTGAAGATCGTGGGAATCATTACTGGGGCCCTAAACGAGGGGAGCGATCAAGACGAGAGAGGGAGTGATCAGGACGAGCGGTAGATGAGGGGAAGGGATTAGGACGAGCGGTAGATGAGGGAAAGTGATTAGGACGAGTGGTAGACGAGGGGAAGTGATTAGGACGAGCGGTAGATGAGGGACAGTGACTAGGACGAGCGATAGATGATGGGAAGTGATTAGGACTATTTTAAAACAGCAAACCGTTTTAAAACCTATTATATACTGTTATGACGAACGCCTTGTAAAGACCGAACGTTCAACTGAGAATAAGATCGTAGACAACGAACGTTCACTAACACATAAAATGAACGCCCATCGAACAGCAAGCCAGGACGCTCGTCCAGCGCGCAGCGCAGAGGACGC